ATGAATGAATCAACAACAACAGCAGCGGCAGCGGCGGCAGCAGCAATACGCGCCCCGTTTGCGTATTTATAGTTATTTATTTTTGCTGCCGTCGCCAGCCGCTGTAAACAATGCGCCTTTGGCACGTAATTAGCACACTTACAGATAGCAGCAGCAACAGCAGCAACAACAACAGCAGCAGCAGCAGCAACAACAAGCCACGGCAGAAGCAACCAAATTGGAACGTGTCCGTCAATAACTGTAACAAGGTCTTGGCTGAAACGGAAACTGGGCAACAGCAAACGATGATCAGAGCAACATTTCCGCTAGCTTTTCCAATGTGTTGCTCTTGCAACCCAGCAGCAACATTTCGATACAGCCATCGAATTCGTATGTGTTTTTCATTTGGTATTTTATCAAAAATTGTTACAAGTCGCATAAAAAAAAATAAGTTGACTTGGCGCGCGCGCCAGCTCCAAACTTGAGCCGATTGCCCCGAGCAACACGACAGCAACAACAGCAACAACAACAGCAGCAGCAATAGGTGCAACAACAACTTGGTAAAAAAAAATAAAAAAGTGGGCAAACTAGTTTTTCGGTATCCGAGCATCCGTTGGCTCAGGTTGTAGTTGGCTTTCAGGCATTTTTCTGAATGGAGCTCACTAAAAATTGTGAACTGGAATTTTTTTTAGGTGAATAATTGTGCTATGTTGTCGCTGTCGCTGTTGTTGTTGTTGTTGTTGTTGTTGTTGTTGTTGTTGTTGTGGTTGCTGTTGTCATTGATGTTGTTGTTGTGCGTTTTATGCTAATGCGTTAGACATTATTAAAAATATGTTTGCTCATAAGTGCACCGCGAGAAAAGCTGCAAGTGGCAAGTGCTCTAAAATACATGTTGTTCCTTATTTCAACCTTTTCGCTCAGTGTATGAGACTTGGCGTGCGGCTGAATTCTTTCTAGAATGTTATAGAAAGTCCTGGGCCTTTACTCAACACATTTTATTTATATATTTTAAATATTTGTTGTTCTTTTAAAACAATTTTTCGCTCAGTGTATTTGATATGCTAAACGCAGCTAAGAACTTTTGCTTCTTGTGCTTGTTGATTTCTTTTTTGGCATAATAAAAAGTCCAAAGTCTATGTTTTTTGAATATTTATTCTTCTTTTTATTCGATTTGATTTCGATAATTTTCGCTCAGTGCATGATTTATGCCAGACATAGCTGTTGTTATTATTATTGTCTACTCTCTTCGGGCATTTGATTTTTTTTTTTGTTTTTTGTTTTTCTTGTTTTCGCTTTGAATCCACATTGAATAATTTCTAAATTTAGCATAAAAAACATTCCCCCGACGTGAAAGGCATGAAGAAAAAAAAAAAAAATAATCTAAAAGAATGCGAAAATAAAAAACGAAACCCCTCGAGAAGTTGAAGTCGTAATATGAGCTACGCTTCGAACTGGAACTCTGGAAGTCGTCTCTCTGGCAACAATAAAAGCTAGGAATGCGCGTTTGTAAGTCGTGATAACTCGTGATTATTGATTAACGCGACTTCCACATTGAAGATGATTTACGGCCAGAGATCAGTTACACACACGGCCATAACGACCTTCAAGCTCGGGTTACCAAAAGCAACATACTCACACACACACACACACACACACATGATTGTAGGATATAATATAGCATGATTCGGCTTTGAAAGCCAGTTATCACAAGGCTCGTAAATTTTTATGACGACACTTTTATTGTGAATGCCTGCGGCGGAATTATCATAAAAATGCTCAAGATAGCAAAAAATACAAAATTGTAGACAGTTGGGGCCATTGTTGTTTCTCTTCTTCTTTTTTTGAAATAAAAAACAAAGGGCGTGGCTCGAGCATTTCGATCAACAACTGTGGCTCACATTGCGCATACGCACAGTTGGCCGTATAAAAAAAAATAAATAAAAATGCCGTTTTCACACCTGGCTGGCAAACAACAATAACAATAAAAGCACCCACGTGTCTGGCTCCGCTCGTCCGTCCGTCTGTCCGTTCGACTGTCCGTCCGTCTGTCAGCTGAGACATGTTTATGCTTGATTTGTTTATGCATTTCTCAGTCAATTGGAATTCTCAGCTCGGCCAGGCCACTTTGCCTAACTCATGCCAAGATCTTAACAACATGTCATTCATGTTATGTTGTTGTTGGCGTCAGCCAGCAACAGCTTGGGTTTTAGACGCTTTTAGCCATGCCACGCGCACAGCGACAACTCTTCGACTTGTTTAAGCCAAATATGCGTAGCTGATCTGCTTGTATATGGCCAACAAATCAGCGTTGTTGTTGTTGTTGTTGTTGTTGTTGCTGTTGTTGTTGTTGGCATTACCTATTCAAACATTTGGACGCTCTGTCGCTTTGCCATTCATACATAGATTGACTTGCCCAGCGAAGCGAAACGCAGTCGCAGTTGCTGTCGGCGTCGCTGTCGCAGTCGGCGTTGCCGTCCCATCACAGTTTTACGTTTTCATTCATTCGTCGTCGTCGTCGCCGTCGTCTCCTGGCCCCTCCCCTCCCCGCTCGCACCTCCTCCTCCTCTCACTCCTCGAACGTCACAGTTCTCGCTCATTCATCGCGCGCTGGCAACGCCATTTGCCATCGCGCTTCGTCGTATTTCATTCATGAATTTTCTTTCATTCAGCTTTGGCCGACCCCCCCCCTCCTTTCCTCATGCCCCTCTCTCTCTCTCCAACTCTCTGTAGCTCTCTCTCGCTTGCACACACAACAATCTCCCTGCTGCTGCTGCTAGTCGCTTCACGTTCCTGTCTGTTGTTGTTATTATTGTTGAAAACATTTTTAAATACCGGAACTGAATGTTTAGCGCTTTTAAGCATGGGAACTTTTTGTTTTCTTCTGCAAAGAAAAAAACTTTATCTATCCAGCTCCCTCTCTCTCTCTCTCCCTCCCTCTTTCACTCGCACTGCCTCTCTCTGCGCTTCTCTTAGCGTTTGTTTTGTTCTTCGAACAGGAATTTTGGCTTTTTTTCTATTTTAGGCGTTCTGCTTGCGTCCTGCTTTTTATGCCTTCCAAAATTTATTGCAGACATACGGATTTTGAAATTTATGGGCCACGCTGATGGCGCGTCGCCGAGCCATGCCGGACCCAGCCGTAGCGGTAGCTATGTGTGTTTTTTAGCTGCTGCGATCTAGCTGGAGGCTCTAACAAGTCTGAGATATGTGTCAGGAAATAGAGATTTAGATTTTGAGTTGTGATTGGATTACTACGTTTAATAAGTAGCGAAAATCTTCGAAAATCTAGTTGGGAATCATAAGAGTTGTATTTCAGAATTTACGCTATAATATATATACAATATGTTTGTAAGAAAAGTATTCTTAACTTTAGAAGAAGTCAAGATTAGCAACAGCTTTATACATATTTTCTTGGGAATTCTTCCAGAAGATTGCAAATATTTATAAATATCATTATTTTAGCTTCAGATATTCTTAAGTTAAATATTTTTATTTTAGCTTCAGAAATTCTTTGGTTAAATACTATTATTTCTAGACTATTACTTCAGAAATTCTCTAGTTATGAATATAGTTGGTTCGTAACTTCAGGAAAAATGAAAATAAAGTAGAACAAAATAGGAGATTTTCCGAAAGACAGCATATCTAACATACATATGTATATATTCATTTCTTATAAGTTCTTCTTAATCTTGATTTTCGTATCAGGAAGTTATCTTACAGCTGACTGCTAGAAAATCATAGTAAGTTCTAGCAACATTATTTCAACTGTATTTGCTTTACTCTTTGGCTGGTTTTTAAAAGTTTTTAGCAAATTTTATTTAAAATATTTGTTCCAATGAAAGAAAAAGAATATTTAATTAAATAGAAGAATCTCAAGTTAAGTTGGGAGGCTTTAGTTGATAAGGATTATTTTTAAAATATCAGAATATTATTGGCTTATTTTGATCACATTTTTAGGCTCATTAAAGAAACAACTTTTATAGTTTAATAAATTGAACAATTTGCTTTTTGCCTTGATTCCTATTTCCGACTTTATGTTTGCATTACTTATAACGATTGCTATAACTTCGAAGTTAGAAAAAGTATTTCTCTCAGTGTACAGTTAGCCTCATTTCTTTGACTTGTTTAGAGTGTCAATATTTTTGTGTTGATTGTTGTTGATATTTCACGCCTCAGCCAACTAGGGAGTGTTTTTTTTTTTTGTTTTGCTGGATACGAGTCTATGATTTAAGCTGAGCATGTATAGGGAAAAAAAACTGCAGCTAGTTGCTTGATTTATGGGTTCGGTTACAAATAAGTTTGATTGAATAACTGTTGTTGCTTTTTACAGCAAAGTTTTTTCGTGGAAAGATCGTATCGGAGCCGAGCTTGGCTTAGTCATGGGCCCAGTTGTTCGTGCCTCAACATATATTGAACTCTTGACCCGCAGCGCTAATTGTTTTATAAGGTATCGCAATTGCTCAGCGCTGAGTTTAATTGATCAAATGCGACGACAACAACAACAACAGCAGCAGCAACGTTGTCATGGAAAACATTGCGAGGCAACAAACAACTTTCATTTTTCATCTAAAGCGAGCGATGTTGCTGCTGCCGCTGCTGTTGCTGCTGTCGCTGTTGCTGCTGCTGCTGCAGTTGCAATTAAATGTGCCCCGTTTTGGTGGGTGTCAAGTGTAATGGCTTTTAAGAACGTCAATCTCTATAGGGCGGCAGCTAAATATAGACAATGCCCAAAGCGAGTTACAGCCACAGCCCCAAGTCGAAAACCTGCTGCTGTTGGCGGCATTTATTTTTTCACTAAAACTTTTTGGCGTGGGCTAACAGCCAGTTACAAATGGCAATAACAACAACAACTAACTTGGCCAGCAAGTCGCTGGAGCAGGTGTCGCTGCTGTTGCTGTTGCTGTTGCATTATGCAATCGCCGACAAGTTGTTTGCATAGATCAATGCGAAAAGGCAGCAACTGTTGCTGTTGTTATTAGCAGCTCCCTCTCCCTCTCCCTCTCTCTCCCTCTCTGTTTACTTACCCCAACTTGGTAGAGTATGCGCAGATCCTTGACGCTGTGCGCATGCTTGTTGCTGCTGCTGCTGCCGCTCAGTCGATGTTGCTGCTGCAGCATTTGGCGCGCACGTCGCCCCGCCTGTGCGGCAGGCTCCAGCTCCGACTGTTGCTGCTGCTGCTCCGCTGAGATGCTGACCACGGCAATAGTTAGCGGCTTTTCGCTGCTTGGCCTCGCCGTGCTGCTGGTTGTTGTTGCTGCTGCTGTGGCTGCCGCCTTGGGCGCACCTGTTAGCTCTTTGGGATCGTAGATGACATATTCCAAGCTCTTGTGCTTGGCATCGCTGTCAGCGCTGGCCGTTGGCGTCAGCTCGTACACCTCCAGCGGCAGGCGCGTGCTCTCTGCGCCGCCTGTCAACATCAGCAGCAGCAGCAACAGCAGCAACAGCAACGGCAACGGCAGCAACATAAGCCGCCGCCGCAGCAACAGCAGCAGCGAATGCGCACCTAAGCTGGCCATTCTATGTGTGTGTGTGCGAGTGTGTGTGTGTGTGTGTTTGGGTGTGTTGTGCGGCTGCGGTTGTTGTAATTGACACTTTTTTTTGTGGGCTTTTTTTTTTTGTAAGCAACAGCCTCCGTTGTCGTTGGCAAATCGAAGCGTTGATTGTTTTTCTTTTTAATATATGTATATATATATTTTGTGTCTGTTTGTGCTTTGGCTACAATTGCAGTTTGTTGTTGTTTTTGTTGCTGGTTTAAATTAGCCTTGGTCAGCAGCAACGGCCGCCTGGCCCAGTGGCTGGCAACATGCTACACACACACACACACACAGAGAGCAAGCGCGAGGCACAAATAACGCGATCAATTTACAAATTATAAAAATCAGGTTTAAGGCAACGATCGACGAACGATTAGCGTTGAATTAATTAACGATTATTGCTGCACACGTATATAGTATTTCGATTTGTTTCGATATCGTTGTAATATTTTGATAAAAAAACACTGAAAAACACGCGTCTCAACGAGTTTTGTGGCACGCGGTCAACTTTTGCTCGTCGTCTGCTCTGTGCAACCTCACAATTCGAACTGATCAAACAGAAAAACGAGCGACGGCAACTTCAACTGCCGCCGAGCGAACAGCGCGCGTGTGTGTGTGTGTGTAAACGAGTATCTGTGTGGCCAAGACTTGAATGAACGTACACACACACACAACAGCGACTGCGACGGCGACGGCGACGGCGACGTCGGCCGCAGCGTTTGCTATAAATGAATGAATGTTGTGAGCAGCGACGCCGGCAGCACAGCATCCCTGGTGTGCGTGTGCATCTGTGTGTGCGTGGGTATCTATGTGTCTGCTGTTGCTGCTCGTTTGCACTGCAGCCGGCTCGCGTGCTGAGCGCTTGCCCCGTCGCCTGAGGCCTGCGGCCGGCCAATGCGTCGAACGATGCATCCTTTTGGCCGTTTTTGCTTGTGTTTATTTTATTTCTGTTTTTTTGTTTTACTCGTTTGTTGTTTTTGTCATTTTTACTACGACCGGAAACTAATTCCTGCCCAGCGACATTGTCTGCCGCGGCCGCTTCTCCCTGTTGTTGTTGTTGTTCTTCTTGCTGTTGCTTTTGTGGGTTTTTTTTTTAAGCTGCCTCCGTTGCTGCTGGCAGCTCGGCTGGTTGTTTAATTTCGCGCGCATGCCAAAAATAAGCAAGAAAACAAATCTGAGACTCGTCTTCTTCGGCCTCAGGTTGGAGATTGGAGTATGGTGGCCAGTTCAAGCGAAAAGCGCGCGCTTCTTAAGAAAGCGCGCCAATTTTTATGGGCCTAGCGATAAGATTTCATTTCGTTTCCATTTTCATTACCGAGCTTTAGTTGGGGCCTGCTGCGGAGCCATGGCAAGCCGAAATTCTGGCAACATTTTCCTATCGAATTGAGCTTCTTTTCAACTGAATTCCACTAACTGTCATTCTTATCATTCGAAATGTGGGGTCTTATATTTGACGGACAATTCACATAGTATAGTTCTTGGACAAATTCAGTTCTTATATTTCTATATAAAAAGTATTTTCTATCAAATTGAGCTTATTTTCAACTGAATTCCACTAGCCAACATTCTTATCGTTCCAAATGTAGGGTCTTTTATTTGGTTGACAATTCACACAGTAGAGTTCTTGGACAAATTCAGTTCCCAAAAAGAAAAAGTATTGATTAATATTGATCGAATTCATTCGAAACATAAACAATAAATGTCCCTTCATTCAGTGAAATATTATGAATTAATTTTCCGAACTGAAATACAGCTTTTTGGAAATTCTTTCCCATTTATTTTAAATTAATATTTCATCAGATATTCTACGCTTCATTCATTTCGTTTGAAATGTTAAATTAAATATTACATTATATTTCTTTTATTTTTTTTTTTAAATTTTTATATTTTTAACATAAAAATTTTCATTTTAATTATTTCGCACTTTAGTGAACATTTCATTTAAGTAATATTCCAATAAATATCATTTATTTTAAGTTCGCATATGTTTATTTATTTTATTTTTGTACATTTTGTACCGACATTTATTAATCTCACAACTCTTTGCTGCCTGCTGCTCTCTTTGCAGGTAAAATGTATGCGGTTATTGGACGACGTCATGGCAAAATCCTATCGGGCGACCTAACCCAGGGCAGCGGCAATTTCGCAGTGACCTGCCTGCTGCCCGTCATCGAATCGTTCAACTTTGCCCAGGAGATGCGCAAACAGACATCTGGCCTGGCCTGTCCCCAGCTAATGTTTAGCCACTGGGAGGTAAGTGCAATCAACGCAGCTGTTGCTCCTGTTACTCTTGTTGTTGTTGTTGTCGTTGATTTTTGGGCGCAAGTGCGCCACGCAGTCAAAGTAACCCCTCTCGGCAGTCGGAGTCGGAGTCGGTGTCTGGCCATATGCCATGTGCGTGCTCTCTGCTTTGCGGTCTGTCTTTGGTCAGCAAAAATCTCAGTTTACCTTCGCCTTAACTTTTGCTACCTTCTGCTGAAGTCTTATAAGCTAAACCACAGCAGCAGCAGCATCGGCAGCAGCAGCGACAACAGTTGCTCTGAAAGTTATATGGTCCATTTGAGCTGCTGCAGCTGTGTGCAATATTTTATTCTTGTAAAAAGAGAGAGAGAAAAATCCAAAGGGAACGAACACATTTCAAGTGCCTGTTGTTAACGGCCTTTCCCCTGACCTTGTCGCGCCGAGCATTGTGGTTGGTAATACGCAGCCCAAAGTTGATCCCAATACCCACTTGGCAAGCGGATGGGCCCAAACAGCGGATGGGCTCGCTCAAAAAATGATTAATATAGACGCAGCACGCGCACACCCCACAAAAGTGTCGAATATGTTTTACCAACAGCTCACTTAACTTATTTAAAACTAACACGAAATTTAATGAGAAGCTGAAGTTAGCTCTAGGATCTCTCTCTATGACTGAAGAAAGGTTAAAAAGAAAGTTATCTAAGGTTTAAACCCATATTCGATTAAGATCTGAGCGATCTGTGACCCTTATATCTTACATCATATCTTTCTTAAGAAATCCTCAATGCGATGAGTAGAAAAATATTTGTTTAATAGAATAATCTATGTATAATAGAAGTTTATTAATATAGTTGTTTTTTCCCAGTAAGAAATATTTTATATGAATAAACAGTATTATAGTAAGTAGTCTATTAAATAGATTTTGTTTCCGGGCAACAAATATTTTAAAGGACTAAACTACGTTTAATCATAGTTTATTATATTGATCTTGCTTCCCAATAACAAATATCCTTAATATGTTACTATTCTAATAGAGACAATATTTCTGATTATCTAACTATTCTAAAACGATTGATATTATGTTATTATTTGTAATAAGGCATTAAACTTGATTGAACCATTTTCTTTAGTAACCTGTAGGATCAGATTGTTCTAGTTATATAATAGATAACATTGATGATATTTGCTTCTAAGCCAAATTTTTGTATTTGTCGGGTATACAATAGTTCTCAATCGTCGCAGGCCTTCCTTTGAAGTGAATATCCTATAAATCATTCGAGTGTAAAAGAATCATCAAGTAGAAAGAAGCAGCTTTCTCATATGTACATATTTCCCAAGCTCTTTAGACCTTAACTATATATTTTAATATGTACTACGTGCGAGAGAAGTCATTATATTTTCATATCTATATCCTCAGACTAGATCTGAGCCAGGATAATTTTCTTTTTATACTATATCAAAGCGTTGTTGCTGATTTGAAGCCTTTCTGTGTGATCTTCTGTATGTGTATGCTATGATTATATATCCTACAATAGTCTGCACTATATCTATCGATTTCTTCATTCCTTTACAACTTGTTTTACTTTGAGGTTTTTATACTACATCAAAATCAATTCTTCTGTCGTCTGTACAACAATTACTGGAGATTATAAGCTCTAAGCAACATTCATTCGTATCATACATTTAGATCAGAGATTCCATATCCTGTTCCATGTAATATATCTCCATGTGCCAGCTCCTTGATAAATATTTAATTTAGTGGAATTCTTTGTACCATATGAAATCACATTGTTGTTTACTTGTCGGGTGTACAACAATCTCCAAGTGCGTGCGCTTGTATAAGTATGAGCTGTGCATGTGTGTGTGTGTGTGTGTTTGTAGTATATCGCCCAACCAATCGATAACAACAAGTTTTTGTATAATGACTTCCGGTGATTTTCTATTTCTCAGCTGAAGTTTTGCCGGCAACGTTGTCTACGCCGACGTTGTTGTTGTTGTAGAAGTCGCTGTTGTTGTTGTTGTCTTTTTGCTGCTTTCGTATAATTTCATACGCATTTCCAGCGTCCGTCGAATGGTGATGGGGAGGTGTGGAAGGGGAGGCGGGGAGGTTGGGGCCACATTTGTAACTTTCCGTCTTGGCGTCTTGGTAGAAATCTAAACGGAAACTAGTTTGGCCAGCAGCACAAATAAGTGCATTATTAAGCCAATGGAAAGCTAAGGCCGTGTCTTTTCAGCAATTAGAATGCGACTACAACAACAACCAACAACAACAACAACCACAACAACCACAACAACAACAACAATGTGTGTCACCTGGCGATTGAGTTTGCCCATTTTTAAATGCCGCTGACATTTTTCAGCAACAATTAAACAGTTATGCCCTGCTGCTGCAGCACTTTCAAAGGTACGCCCAATTGGCCAGCGTTTATGCCCACGCCCACGCCCCCCATCTCCATGCCCACGCCCACGCCCACATCCAAAGCGTAGTCGCATGCGTGAGCGTCCAAGACTGACCGCGGGCGTGGGCGCAGTTGTCACGTGCCCATAATAACAACGAAGGCGGCCTCGAGTGGGGCAAATCGTGGGTGGAGGGGGAAGTTGGTTACATTTGAATTTCTTGCCGCATCATGGCCTACAATGCGTTCGTTAAGCTGCAGCAACAACAACAGCAACAACAACAACAACAGCTGAGCAGCCTCTGCAGCCTGACCCCGCGCGACGACCTTTCTGGCCGTCGGCCTCAGCGGGCCGAACCGCAACGGCAACGGCAACAAAAACTAATTTTCAGTTTTCATATAAACATAAGTGTATATATTTTTCACTCACGTAACGCATTAAAGCCTCAAACACACACACACACACACACGCACACATACAAACTGTGGTATGGCCAGCATAAATATCTTTGCGCGACGCTCCTCGTTGTTGTTGTTGTTGTTGTTGTTGTTGCTACTGTGGCCGTTGCTACCGTCTTGCGCGCTTTTGTTATTATTTGATTTTGTATAGCCTGTAAAAATATGACAGCATTGGGGTATGTTGTGCCTGTCACATGCGTTCTTCTTTAACCTATTGCTCTTTTGTGCATTGCATAAGTTAGCATACCCTGTGAAAGATATGACTGCAAAGGGTATATAAGTGCAGGTTGTATAGTCTTAAGGTTTATGAAATACAGGGGTGCATTTTTAGTTGAATTATGAATGTAATTAGGTTATTTTTCAAATGGATCTAATGTCTAATCAAATACTCCATAGTAACATCTCTAGATAAGATCTTAAATTTTGCTTATCC